GATTGTGGGCAGTCGAAGTGTGGCTGAAGGCCGGTTGAATTGATCCCTGAAGTGTTCTACCCATCGATCCAATCTTCTGGGTTGAGAATAAATGATAAGACCATCCTTTTCCGAGATGGATTTCTAATACCGGTTTCCTCGATAAGTCTAAACAGTTATCTACTGTCACCTATCTTCGTTGCCTTATCTATCTCTCGCTTTCGCTCCCCACCACTTCGTGATCATTGCGTAGGATTTTTATCAGCCTGCGCTTAAGCTGGCATCTATCAGTTCGGTGGATGCTACTGAGATCCATGGCTTCCTCTCAGCCGTATGGTTTACCTTACTTTCAGATATCACTGCTCTTTACACAGCCTTTTGTATATCCTTCCAAACTGCCTTAGGGTGGGCATCGCTTAGATGGCTGCCTAACTTTTTCTCGTTGCTCCTTAAATATATTCTTAGCTTTATTATCATTTAGTAGAACCCTAAAAGTTTTTTTCGCGGTGTCTTTTCTACGTTCACTAAGTCGCAAACAAATACGTGCTCGCATTAGAGCATGATATAAATCTAAACATATGTCACAGAACGAGCTTCAGGCCTCCACTGATGGCTTATAGCTATGTGATATAGTTGTGTCCAGCGTTGTGACGACGTTGGATGTTGCTAAATCAAGACATGTTTCTCTACATGCTTAACGTTACTGTGTGCTACGAATAGGCGGTTTTCTGAGAATTGTCGCTGTAGACGGTCGCTATTATCCGTTCTTTGAGCCGTCACAGCATTAGATCCACCCGGGTGTCTTTCCTTTTCGCTTAGTCAACCTACTTGAGCATTGAAGTCACAGGCCATTATTAATATATGAGCGCCTAACTTTTAGGAGGAGGTCCGGAGGCTTCCTGTCAAACTTATCTTTTACCTCGTCTGAATTGCAGTCAGTGGAAGCATAGGCAGATACGACGTAGAGGTATTGGCGTGTCCCTATCTTTCAGAATCCATATTGTCCCGTTTAGTCGGAAAGTCCACAAGCGACTATCTACTGAAATCCAGTACTGTAGAGAAAGTTCTGATCTAGGAATCAATGCTATACCTACACCAGTGAGACCAAGGGAAGCAGGAGCATGGAATTCAGATACACGGAGAGTAAATCTAGCTGGTACTTTCTTTTGACATAGTGAAGTCAAGTGAATGACGCTACTCAGATCCTGTATAAGCGTTTCCGAGAAGCAATATACATCGATGGCACGAGATTCTCAAGTCCTAGATAAGTAAGCCTTCTGCACTATTTGACACAATGTCCGGACATTAAAAGCTCCAACATGTAGTCTGTAGTGGAGTTTCATGAGACCGGGAATAACGTTCTGGGAACTCGAATCGTTTGCAGCAGAGGTGCGGGATGATAAAGGAATGTGAGAAGAGGTAGTCGTGAAGATAAAGGGAAAGTTAGGGCGTGTATGGAGGATAAGATTGTGAAAATACGGTCTCGTGTGCAGTTACGGGTATGAGGGCAGTTTCACCAGGCATTTAAAAGTACTTGAAGGAGAAGTTAAAAATCAAGCATCAGCAAATGTATGCATATGTTTGAGAGGAGTGGATTTGATCGGTATTAGGCAATATACTTGAGTAATTTCAGTGACTGCTGGATTGTGACAAGAATATGATTAAAAATAATTTCATCTGATCTTCTCATGATGTATTTGGTTTGAAGTTTCCAGTGGAATGGAATTATTTTAATCCAATGATAATAACTATGAATCATGGACAGAAATGTGCATCTGACCGTGATTAGGACAACGAATATGTATTCTCCAGTGTGTACATAGATGTTTTCATACTGGGTGTTAGTTACCGAAATGCTTAGACGATTAAAGTGGTTTCTATGTGTTCGAACTGTTGGTCAGTAATGCATGTAAATTTCGACCACTAGCAGTTTAACTCCTGTTTTCATACAGGTTATTAGGGTGTGGAGTGAACAATGCAAACATGCAGCAAATGCAGGAAGTCACTCACAAGTGGACTGAGTTATGTTGGTCGATGTAGGCTACCTGGTTGGGGTCCGCGAGACGAAAGTCACCAATGGTTAGAGACCTTGAATGACATGGCTCAAAATCGTTTGCAATGGCGCAGGTGCATCCACTCTTTGTGTTCTCTCAAATCCCAATCCTCTGGATTCGTCAACACATCTACGTTTGTCTTTCTAAACTGATCTCACTGAATTATGCTTCTTGAATAATATCTTCAAATCCTAATCTTCTCCATTACCAGCAATACTCCTACTATCTCTACCACTATGCGATTTGAACTGACAATTGCGTCTCTGTGCTAATGTCGTATGGCAACCTGAACTGATGTACTTACGTACGAAGTTCTACGTTGTAACAGACTGACTGATGTAAGAGTACACTGAAAGATTCCCAAATAATACAACACAACAAGTTTACACAAGCAGACTTTGTAATACAGAACTTATTAGTTGACTGACTATCCCAGTTCACATAACTATCATAACATTCTGAATGAAGAACTGTCAAAGGTGAGACCTAGTGAGTATGCGAACTCAGTTGACACTTAGTAATGAAAGCAATCGATAATTGTCTGGACGTTGGTATGGTATTGTACTCGAATAAAGGTCAGTAAAAACTGAACAGCATCCCAAATAACCTGAAATTGTACGTGTCGATGTTTTCAGCAATAGTATATCCGGAATATTAGGACGTTTTGTTCTGACCCTCGTGTTAGGAACATTTCATTACGAAAGCGGTAAAAATTGGAGTTGAATTCCTTGACATTAACACTGACAGAGAAAATCTTCAGATCGGATATCTTATATGGCTGTATTCGAAGTTAGATTGTTTTGAAACGTCGAGAACGCTATGTTGCGTGACTGAAATTTCGAGAGTGAATAGCTTGTGATTCTGTTTGCTAGTAGGAAATGTGTTTGTGAGGTGTTGGCAAAGATTTTCTAGTTGTCATTGTTTGAAAAATTACTTTTTTAGGTCTTGTTCGGGAGATGGTTTACCTCTTGTTTGATGTCAGACAGCTGTACTTACTGATTGCTTGAAATCTCACTATTCTTTGGACGTACAAAGCCGTGCGTCTATCATTGGAGTTAATGGTTTTCGATGGAAGACTGCTTAATAGTGAGCTAACAGTGTGTGTGATTTTTCGTAAGCCTAATGGATACAGTCGTTTGGGATGACTTAATTTTGACAGATACAACCAACTGAATGTTAATTGTAAAAGCATTAGGAAGTTAGAATTCGTCAGAGCAAAGTTTCAATATGACACAATCGTGGACACTAATGTGCATATGTAGACAATAACAGAATGGACTTTAAGAAGTCATCAATGTTCTAGTATACGTTTACTTTGACTATCGGTTTGCTTGGGCTCCTGCTTACCAGTATGGATGGGTAGATATTTATCGATCACAACTTGTTGAAGTTTGCTAAAACTAGCACTGTCAAATTGTAAATTCAGTTAGGTGGGTTGTGTTAACACGTGACAATTTCCACAATCAAAGATACTAGTCAGAATTATGTTTTTTCTCATTCGGGTAACCTCTTAAACCAGGACAATTTCACTAGGCGCTTAGAAGTATATGTTTGATAGGAGTGGATTTAATCGGTATTAGGCAATATACTTGAGTAATTTCAGTGACTGTTGGATTGTGACAAGAATATGATTAAAAAATAATTTCATCTGATCTTCTCATGATGTATTGGTTTGAAGTTTCCAGTGGAATGGAATTATTTTAATCCATGATAATAACTATGAATCATGGACAGAAATGTGCATCTGACCGTGATTAGGACAACGAATATGTATTCTCCAGTGTGTACATAGATGTTTTCATACTGTGTGTTAGTTACCGAAATGCTTAGACGATTAAAGTGGTTTCTATGTGTTCGAACTGGTGGTCAGTAATGCATGTAAATTTCGACCACTAGCAGTTTAACTCCTGTGTGCATACATGCACTTGAAATTCAAATCTAAAATATGTAATGCATCATTACTCTTCACTCCTCCAAATGCAGATAACGTAAGATAACTTTTATCTCTGTATATTTTTGTCTCTTCATTTTATTTTCACTTTTATAACTGTCTGACGTTCATCCTATCTCTTTCTCTAAATCTTTTAGTGTTATAATGTATTCAACTATTCTTCTTATTCTTATTCTATCTCATTTCCTATATGGCTTCTTCATAGACAGTGGCGAATTGACGTAGACTTTTTTTTTTCATTCTAATACAATGGTATTCGGATAAGTCTACTTTTCCTTCCGTTAGTTGTCCATCATGCGATCGTCTGTAACCCTGTGCATGCGTAATTAAACATTCAATTCCACTGCGTCGAGATCTTATTCGGTGTTATATCAATGTTTGTATTATATCAGTCCATCTGTATACACTCATTTCCTGTTATAAGTTGATGGTTGGTAACTACTGTACATATTGGTCAATTAAATTACTCAAACATGTATTTAGGAATATTTTTATACATGTTATTACTTGATTCATTTTTCATCAGTCATCGTTTATGTTGATGGCAGATATAGAAATTCGGTGAACGGAATGTCTTTTGATAAAAATTGCTTATGTTTTGGTACTCTTCCGATGGGACTCAGCACTCTGCAAAGAAAAAGTGGTTTTCAATTGTTTTTCCTTAACACAAAAATGTAGATTCTTTTAGATGATTGTTCTAAAGTGAGCTGACATCTCATTTTAACCATCATTTATGTATGTATATATGTAGTAGTAATAATTATTACTAATATGCTGCTCTGTTGTCAATAATTGCCTAACTAATTAAATCAATTCATTATTAATTTTTAAAAAAATCAAACAACCAACCGTAAGATCTGAAGTTGACAGAGAAAAGTATTTACAAATTTTAAACATACCACACAGGTTTTTTTCATCGCTTTGGTCAGACCACGGTACACGCGCAATGTAAAGGTTACTTCAAAATGAATATAATTATTAGATGCGCCTTACCTCTTAAGTTTTTTGAGTACAAAGTCAACATATCAGGCCTTATTATATTGTTTTTAGGTGTGCTTTGTACGATCACAAACATATGAGTAGTTTCTACTAAAATGTAAGTAAAACGTGTTTTGGTGACAACGAACTTTTCTTAGGTATTCATCTACAAATATTATGATTTGTATATTTTTAATGGGATGTATAAGTTCTTTGTGTTTTCATTTAAATCCAGTTGACTCTTTATTCGATATTAAAACTGACCCTGAGATATATATGAATATTGTAAGTAGTTATTTTGACGAGTAACTTAAATTGTTTGTAAAGAGTGAAATAATACGGAAACAAGGTTATTTAGTTGAAGAACATGAGGTTACTACGGGCGACCATTACATTCTGTGTTTAATTAGACTTTACACGAACCAGTCAACTCATCAAAGTAAGTTCTGATAGTGATGTTTCAGGAACAAAATAAAAAACATTATTATCTTTGTTTATTTTAGAGCGTAAAGTTGTTTTATTGCAACATGGATTACTGGACTCATCACATGCATGGGTGATGAATTTAAGAAATCAGAGTTTAGGATATATTTTGGCTGATAATGGGTATGATGTTTGGCTAGGGAACAGCAGAGGCAGTACATATTCAAAGAAACATAAGCATCTTGATTCAAGTCAAAAAGAATATTGGGATTTTTCATGGCAAGAAATGTCAAGGTATGATTTTCCGGCAAAAATCCGACATATTATATCAGTAACTAAGATGAAGCAACTTTGTTATGTCGGATTTTCTCAGGTAAGCATACAGTATCCCATCACTGGTGATGCAATATCTACTGGCTCAACTTTTTTTTCACTAGTTGGACCATTTTTTTTTTTACAGCAGATGCATTAGCATGACATTTTCATCACTGCAACACAAAAATCTGAATTTTCTTTTTCAGATTGTCCTTAAAATTCACTGTAAAAATGAAAGTGATTGCGTTTAAAATATATATATATATATATATATATATATATATATATATATATATATATATATATATATATATATATATATATAATACATTTTCCGAGTAGCGTTCCAATAACGACATCTGCAAGAGTGTATAAATATCTGTCTAGATTTAAAAAATATCTGTGGCTTGTAGATATA